CTGCGTGTCTTCCCAGTCGGGCTAGTAAGGTCCGACCCGGGTTTTATATTAGGAACCAGGCCAACTACATATCATCTTTCTTATAACTTTCCCAGCGAACTTTCTGAGGGACGCCTTAGAAAGAAGCTGATAATTGAGCTCGATCTGGTTACCATCAGACTCGAGACTCATTCTACGATTTACCCGATACAATACACTTGGCTTTAAGTTCCAGCGGGGTGGCTCCCGCTTTGTCGAGTGTTGATTGGTTTTTCGCCCGGGATTTACTACAGAGCCTTACACTCCTAAGGTCCTCCACTGTTGGGAATCTTCTTCAGTATCTGCACGATCTAAAGTTTCTGTCGGTGAGCTTCTACAGTATCTGCACGATTTTAAAGTTACCAACGGGGCACAAGAAGAATGGGGTTGATGGAGAGGTTTGACCAAGGCCTGGCGATGGAGGCAGCTCAAACAACGGTTCTCACAACATCACGGAGTACACTTTGCTCGGCTGTGCCTCGCCGGCGGCGAGTCGCCGCACACGACTGTGGTGCCTTGCGGGACTTGGTGCGTTGACTGTTGTCTCGCCATTCCTGTCGGCGTCATGCGGAGGCTCGAACAGCTTGGTGAGACACATGATTTTTGCAAAAAAATATTTTAAGGCTGTACAACCGGTACAATGTACGGTATCGCTTTTAATAGTTGCCCTTTATCTGAATCAGATTGTCAAAAGACGAATTTACAGATTATTATACTACTTACATGTATTAATAACCTGTACTGTATACACCGTGGTTATTCATATGGCACAATGCATGTACCGGTAAGCTAGGTACAGTGTGCACTTCTTTATACGACGCAAAAAGCAGGGCAGAACCTCTGTCATCTTTTGATGGTCATGGCATACCGATGGTCGATGTTATACATGTCCTTCATATATATATAGTGGTTACAGTACTAGTGTACTCCGCACACGTGTTTTAGATTTCTACTGTACACTAACGAGCTGTTAGTGATGTGTTTGTGTGTTCTAAAGCTATCAGTTATTCTCCTAACTCTCCTATCCTCGTGAGTTCGTCTTTGTTGGTGATACCATGGCTGCAGCTTAAACTACTACTGTATTATATAGTATATGTCTAGCATCGTGAGCTGCCAAAGGTCTCGCGTAACTCGGGACAACCGATTGTGACGGCACACGTAGACAACGTGCAGGTAATCCTTACATACGGAGTTCTAATAGAATACACGCAGCCCGCGTCAGCCGCATGGGTTTGAGAGGCTTATGAAGCATATTAGTTACATTCTCAAAACATTTTCAAACACGTATCTCGACAATACTGTTAGTTTTTGTGCGAACATCAATTGTGCGTAATAGTCATTGTAGATTTTATTAGTGCAGTACTTTCTTAGTATAAAGGATAAGCTTGCTATTTAAATTACAACCGGCAGTCAGCTTGATGATCAAGCGGTAGACTCTGAGTGATTTTCAAATTCGACTTCATAACTGCATGGGTCTTGATTGCTGAGTTAAATTTAGGCGTATGTGAATGAGCAGGCAAAGGGGACCATCAAATATTATTTTTCCGTCCTCAGTACTGAATTAATAGAGTGGTTTAGTAGAAAGCTACGAACGTGTGACGCCCAGTTTTTTTTGTGAGGAATGCCAGAGACGAGCGTCACACGTTCGTTCAAGTGATGTAGCTACGACTGATAAGCTTTCTACAAGTCGTATACAAATGTATATATATGCACTTTAACATCCGAATACTGTAAACCACAAGTTGGTGGAGCACACGGTTCCAGTGCTCTTCCAGTTTACATCTTGCACCAGCAGTCACCAGCCGCCGCCCATGGAGTCTTCTCGCCCCACCAAGAAGCGCAAGACACAAGTCCGCTTCGATGAGGACGACGACGATGCTCTGCTCAAGGAGGTGCTCGCAGCGAATCCATTCGAGGGGGAGCGTGGCGGGAAGACGGCTGCATGGGCAGCCGTGGCCTCGGCTTTGGCGCTGGATGTGGATGCAAGGCGATGCCGAGAGCGCTGCTCTCTGCTGCTCACCGACTTCAAGGCCAAAATGGCTAGAAGTGCAGCAGCCAGTGGTATCGATGAAGAGCACACCGAGAGGGACGACCTGCTCGCCGACGTGCTAGAGCTGTTCGAGGACGCTGAGACGGTGGAGGAGGAGGAGAAGCAGGCCAAGGAAGCCAAGCAGCGAGACGACGGGCGCGCAGATGCAATGCGGGACGAGGCCATGACCGGAATGAAGGGGAGAACGAGCAAGCATGACAAGTTCGCTGAGTTGATGGCACACGTCAAAGAACGAGATGAGTTTGCACGTACTGTGAAGCTCAAAAAGGTAGCGAACGAGGAAAACCGCATAGCACTAGAACGAGAGCGTTTAGCGTTAGAAAAGGAAGAGCGCATGGCATTTATTGAGATTATGCGAGCTATGGCAGCTCGAATTCCGCAGTAGGAAAAGCGAGCGCTACGTAGGTTTCGAGTGATGGCGGACTAACTCCGAAGAAACGACTGATCTGGTTGGGACTAGTACAATTTCTAAAGTTTGTCAGTAGAGCAGCAACTAGGTAGTACTTGCCGACAGGAGAAAGTAGGAGCTTGGACGAAACCTTCATATCCACGTACGGCCACAACCGAGTTATTCCACCAAACCCCCACTCGACAGATACACGCACAGCACTCATTGCACCATTAAAGGCTTCTTGATCCCGCGAAAGGCGTGAGCCTTTGAAACCGACTTGCAGTGTAGGCCGATTTGGGTAAGCAGGATCCCCGTACAAGCAGTACGACTCGCCATGCACGCTAACAAGACGCTGCAAAACTTCACTTACTCGTAGCAGGTAGACATCATGCCGACGACCGAGAACGGGGCCGTAGAAGTCGATGAATAGTCCGTCGGGAGCCATGACACCTTGATACTTGAGTGCATGCTTGCGCTTGTGCCCATTATAGCACTGCCGTTGGTTGCGCACTGGTCGGGCGATGCCACGCACCGTGCCATCAATGAAGCCGATACACCTGTCAATAGGACTGCCGCGTGCAACGACCGCTGCAGCGTAAGCTCCACACCTTGATGAGCTCAATATGCCGTACTTAAGGGCAAGAAGCTTGCTGCACTTAGCGTAGATTAGGTCCACCATGAAGCGAAAGATCAGGCACAGCGCACTGGGCGACCTGCCGAACATCACAGCAAGATCCCCGTACCGTCCAGGGTACGCGAGCCGGCGCAGCAACACACAGAGCCCCTCGACTTCACCAACGCGAAGGCGGCTCAGTAGCTTGTAGTCTTCCTCAAGCCGCAGCGCCTTGTGCAGCCGAATTACGTCACGCTTCCAGAATCGGAAATTAAAACGAAAGTCTCCCTCGCTTAATGCGTTGAAATTGAAGTTGCCCTTCAGTGTGAGGACTGGTCGTGGAATAGGAGATCTGGCGAAGAGCACAGCGGCGTCCTCGACGAGGACGTGGTCCAGAGCGGTCGCTGCGAGGACTAAGCTCTCTTCGAGCATCTTGACTGGCTTGTGTGCTTTGCAAACGTAGTATACACCAAGGACTGATAAGAGCTCGCGTTCGCTCTGCAAAATGCTTCGCTGGCAAGCCAACGTGTGCGGCAGTGTGATTAGGGTTGTGTGGTTGGCGCTAGTCTACAACTCGCACAAGTTCCTGCTGCTAAACCACTCTAATAGTTGCATACATGTTTCTGAAGTGCTACTTCAAAGTTTTTATTAAGACTGACGTGTACTTACCTCCTGCGTCAAGCTACTAAAAAACTTTGCTCCATAAGTTCTACTTTATTTATGCCGAATGTCAAATATTTCTATATTGGACTGGAGAGGCCTGAATTTCTGGGGGTAGCTTTTTCCTGTAACAATTGATTTTAAGTCATCTTTTCTGGCGAACAATAGGTGCAATGACATCGAATGAAAGCTGAAGTGCTCCTGGGTTTTACTTGAAATATGTAGGATACATGTAGAATGCCCCATCGGTGCCAATACGCCACATTGTAAAATGTGTCGTTCCTAAATCGGTTCCAGTACAAAAAGCTATTTTGTATCTATAGTACACTGTGCATTTACAGTGGTCGACAGCATCGAGGACGCTTTTTTGTGTAGCTGGAGCAATTAGTGACCTTTTTTGATGCGGTTTTCAGGCTGGGCAAAACTTACTTGTATGTTAAAAACGGGTGGAAAATAAAATAAGTAATGAGCGTACATATTGATTTTGTAGCTTGCCATTTAGACTTTCCCTATTTTAGCTAGAAATATGTTTCAATTTAAAATTTATAGGTTTATAATATCTTATATTTAATGACACCTTTATATTCGAATAAAAAGGTTTTATGATTTAGACTTGAATAAAATAAATAACAGTCACAGCTGTGTTTTGAAACAGCCACTCGACAGATCGCACTGAAACGTATACAAATAGAATCTGTAGAGCTTTCGATTGGTGTATTTTAATGCCAGGGTTAAAATAACTACTACATTTTTGATTATTTGAGCTACTACTGTAAGCGACGCGTATACAGTACTAACACAAGTAATACGATCGGCTATTTTAATACTTTTAATACATGTCTGAAAGGATTCGTCCACAGCACCCATGAAGGTAGGTTCCTTCCTACTGGTTCACGATAAATTCGGCTACCTTTTTGCCTACGGTATGCTACTAGAGGACTACCAAAACGTCCATGGAGACTTCCTGACTGCATGAATGTCCTGACGGCCATAAAAGCGTTTGAGTCTCTGAGCGTGGGCGCTGAAGTGACACAGCCACAATGCGCAATAAAACAGCTCGTTTACATCTTCCTCCCAATTTAAACCCACGTTCGATCTCGGATAATGGCAGGTGTGTTCAGAATGGCTCAGTTGTTGTCGGGCAAAACACGTCGTATCAAGGTTAAATGATATATTTTGGTGCTTAGTGAAGACTCAGTACTTATATGCGTATCACTGCAACCCAACAGCGAGTACTGATCTACATGTCAAACAGGCTTCACTCTGGCTTACGCTGAACCTGTCGTCGTAGTCGTCTCAGCCGTAGAAGACTTGCGGTCGAACAGAGCCTTGTAGGCACCGTAAATAGCTAAACCACCGATAGTAGCACCAAGCGTAATCTTGGCGAACTTGCGGAGACGCGGCCACGACTTGGGGTTCTTCTGCACAGTGTCAGCCATCATCGCCGAGATCTTGGCAATACCCTCGTCGCTCATCTTAGCACTCTCCTTAGCGGCCGCGAATGCTGTGATTGCCTGTCTCACGGCAACCTCGTCACCGTCAGAGGCCCTGATAGCGTTAACCGCCTTCGTCAAAGCCGTGTTCGTCTTCAGCTTCTCGAGAAATCCACCGGCGAGCTTAGCGACATTGTCTTTGTTGACACCGACGCTATTAATAGCAGGGACAGCAGGGACAGCATGCTCAGCGCGAAGGCGACGACCTTCACTGGCCACAGCGACGTTTTCGGCGCTGGCGAAGTTGGAGCAGCAAGCCACAAAGGCGACCACGAGAAGGGTGACGAAAACGCTGAAACGCATTGCTAAGTTGAGAAACGAGTTTTCAGGTAGAAAGCAAATTCAAGAATGGTCAATAGTTTCGGGATCCACCTCCAGGCCGGCAGTTGGGTCAGAGGATGCCGGTACATGTACTTCTACAGACTGTAGTACAGTAGAGCCGTAGCGAAATGACCGTGATGAACAAAATCGTGATTGCCTATCCGATTAGTTTTCCTGTGCAAAGCTCAAGATTCATCGAGTCCACTTTTATCAAATAGTTATTCAAAACACCAAAGTAAAAGTGCCTAATAAAAGAACACCTTAAAACGTATAGCTTTTAGCATTTTATGACAAAACTTGACGAAAACGAATGATTTGTTTCTCTCATGTAGCATTACCTGTATGTTTGTATGTTGATTTCTTTATTGAGGCATTTTACGGTAATACGCGTGGTTATAGTCTACGGTAGACTGGACCCGCTAGTAATCAGCTACAGACCAGGTCGCCCCAAAATTGAGACTGGACCAGCTGATTGGGGCTCTATCTGATACCTGCAGACTGCGAGTCTTAGGCCAATGAGAGGGAGCTTTTAAGCTCCAGCTCTATTAAAACAGCAGTTCTTTGCGCACTAAAGAGCTTACCGAGGTCCACATTATGGTTGTGACAACCGCCGTGACGGCAGGCATTTCGCTTATTAATAAACAGAGCACTGCTCGGAGCACCGGTCACCAATGGACAAGAAATGCCCCGCCTGGCACCGCCCTCCTCGCCTTCGGATCATCACGGACTCAGCTTACGAGGCGTAATTACATGTACCAATACCGGAACTGATCACTGGTCAGCAGTGCTGGTCCAGCACAGGGTGTACCTTATGTGCTGCATGCTGCTCCGAAGACGACACTGCCGTTGCCGTCACGGTAGTACTGTGCCTTTGCAGTATAGTTCTACCTTACATCGGTGATCAGCGATGCGCATGCACTATTAAAAATGCCCGGGCCTGATGACAACGAAGTCAGTTTTTGCAAGAGGCTTTTATTCGGAAGGGTGTTTTTATTTGGAGACAATCTGTATTGCTTGAAGCTATTAATAAATCATTTAGCAGAAGCGCCCTATTAGAGTCCGGACTATATTTAATAGTGCCACTCAAAAGAGAGGACTTTATACTGGTGAGGACTTTATTGGTCTGACTCTTTCTAGCGTTAATTTATATGTACAGTAGGTCCTTGAAACTCTTATATCTTCAGCTTGCAAGCTCAACACACATTGAACACTTTTCGAAGAGCACTTAGCTTTCACAGCCTTCGATATGTGGGCTCCCATGCTGTCCCAAACCAAGCATTTACGTTCACCGTGCATCACAAATGGAATAGCCACATCAATCCACTTCTTGAGCAGCTCACTATCAACCCAAGCTCGGGGTTGGTGTGCCACGAAAAGTGGCCCTGACTTTGTTTTCAAAAGACGGTGAATATTTTCCTTTGTAGACCAAAAGTGGGGCAACTTTCGGCCTGTTGCCGGAAAATTGTTCCTCTCTGTCTAATGAATGGTCAGAGAGTTTGTAATAACAGGTTTGGTAGTTTGTAAAAGGACTCTATTCGGGAGAGGCTTGTATTTAATAGTGCAGGCATGTAGTACCTTATAGGACACTATTCGGAAGGGGGCTTTTACTGGGGCGCATCCGTTATTATACCGAGGTTATAATTAGCTCAAAGTATTAATAATAGTAGTATCGTAGCACCAATTCGATGTAATAAATTTTACGACAAAAAAGTGGACTTTTCCGCTAATCTAAGAAATTTCGCAAAAAAAACTACTAGATATAATAGAGAGTGACTCTTAAAAAAAATAAGCGTGTTGACTGATTGAATTAGTGAAGCCCATGACGTTTAGGAGTCTCGTGCGGTGCGAGTCGTACTACGACCGAGTCGGTTGCTAACTAAAATAGATGATTCGGTACCACCGACCGGACTTTGAGCTTCGAAATGAGGGAATATGAAAAATCCACAGAATCCGTGAGTTCTCCACAGATAGTTAAAATATAGTTTTCGTTAATAGGCGGTATTAAAAGTAAGGGACCGGGATCCCATCTTTTAGGAGCGTAGTCCGTACGACCATTTAGAAATTAAAGGGCAAATATCTACACTGTTATCGATCTAATTGTATAAATTAAAGCGTCAGTCGGTTTTTGAACCCCCAAAACATTCAATTAGTCTACCTTCGGACTTCTCCAGATTTAAAACGAGAAATCGATTTCATTGGGGCAAGTAAGATAAATCCGAGCCAATTTGACGGCCAAACGATGACCGATGGCTACACTTTTGCCTAGTTTTTGTATGGAGGGGTGAGCGAGGGCCTTCTTGTACGGAATTGGTGTTAAACAGGAGCGCGCTTTGTGATGCGCGGCTTCAAAAGGTCATTTTAGGCTGCATCTCAGGTGCACACGTGGTCCATTAGAACATCTCCCATAAGCGCGTCTGTTTTTGCGGTGCTACTGCGTTTGTGATCTTCAATACAGCTGTGGTATCCCTTCTTGTAGCTGTCGTGCCTGCTTAGATCTCTGAGTATGAAGGAAGCCTGATACATCAACAGGTTCACCCCAACACTTCATTCCACTTACGTTAATCTCGGCTACTCAAGACAAAAACTCCCACGTGTGTACCACAACAGCGAGACTACGATCGGAAACTGGATTCACGTGTACGATTCCACCGGCATATTCGAGCAAGTACAATCTTCATCCGATTGGAAGTTTACGGTCGAGCACAGACGTTGGCTCTGTGAACTCTACGAAGACCACCCCCTTGATTTCCTTGATGAAGCGTAAGACGCTTACAAGAAGGCATGCCACACCACATCATCCAAATCGTCAGTGCGGCACATCATACATGAATGTGGTCTAACCTTGAAGGTGTTTTAAAGACGAGCGATGTTTATTTAGAAGATCGATACTTTCGCCTCGTGGAGGATCTTAGCAGAGTCGACTAGGGTTACCATAACGTCGTTTTCTCTAGATGAAGTGTCCTTCAACAATCGAGGGATGACCCGGAAGAGGGGATATTGCTAAGAAGGGCAAACGTTTGCAGTAGGAGGTGACTTCCGACTGAAGCCACGAATGTCTGTGTTAGCATTTATTAGCGTTCATGTGTTAATCGGCTACTTCGATTTATCAGGAGCGCTTGATTAAGCTGAATATGTGAAGTACTGCCAGGCGTCTGTCTACCCTATTCGATGGGATGTTAGATTGTTTCCAGAGTCAGACTCTGTGTGGATTTTAGATGGAGCATCAATCCACCGCGATCTTGACATTGCTCACTTTCTGCGGAGCATTGAGATTGTGTCCATTTCCTGCCGGCGTTGCTGCCCATTTTTCAACCCGATTGAGTACAATAACGGATTCATCAAACCGTCGTCTCAGCACCATTACGACGGATCAAGCAAACGATATCTGACAATGTTCGTGGCTGAGTCATTTCGGTGGCTTGAATCGTACAACATGTAAAACGTTTATGTGGCCGGAAAATCCGAGGTCACTTCGACCCAACAGGTCAATTATAAGCAGAAAGGCGGCAAGCTCCAGAAATGCGCGGTATTACAGCGAGGTCAGAAGACTTAGCTGATGGGCTAGGATTTAAACAGCGGCACTCAGTACTGCAGAAATGGTAGAGATAGTGGTGGTCATCAGTTACTGTGCGAACTTTCATTCTTGTGGTCGACATTGTCAGCATTTTTAAGACGGGCAAGTGGTTCAGGCACGTCATTAGCTAGTGATGGTGATAGGCTCAAATAAAATCCTTAATAATGGATTTCCGTTACCTCAGGTTTACTTCATGATTATCTATCCGCCGACCAAACGCATCCCAATCAGCTCGTAGCATCTGGTCGGTTAGAGCAGCATCAACACACTCCAGTGCCACTTTAGCTGAGAGAGAAAGCTTGGACAGCTCGCGCTGAGGATAAGAGTCCGGGACCCGGAGCATTGGTGCAGTATATTACGGTGAAGGGTCTGAGGTCGCTTGCTCCCACGTAGACCGGTTTAGATTGCGCATTGTGTGGCTGACTCACATGCGCCAAACCATTTCTTGGTAGCACTAACGCCTCTCAGCCATTTCGTTAGTGGGGACTTCGGCTACTGCTTCAGAACGATCGGTGTGTTCTAGGAGGACACACACTACCAGAAACGTTTTAAGAGCCGCTAAGTAGGAATCGACATCCCGTATTCATACACAACAAACGTGATCGTCTCGCCGCGTTCTAAAACAAGGCAATTGTTCCACGCTTGTTGTGCCTTCCCGCTGTCAACAGTGTGGCGCCTCTCAAATTGCATCACTTTATTCCACTTCGTCACAGATGGAGGGATGACACTCCACGCTCCATCCAGTTTCACGGCTTGGTCCTTGACTCGCACGCTGAATTGATCCCATAGTATGGCATTAATGGTTAATCGAATGGCATGTCATTTTCTACGACATCGTCAAGCGTATCGCCCAAAGATTTACGCTGACCAACAGTGCTCTTGATTATGGGTCGGATGGTCAGCTGGAATCGTTGCTGCAGCGCTGGAGCATTTGTCACAAGAATTGAACCTGTAGATGCACTAGCATCAACTGCTACTACATGTCGTGAGCTTCTGATTGTTCAAAACATAGCAAGGTACGTGATGTGGTATACTCGCCCGCGCACGCTAAGAGAAGAGAGTGTATGAGCGCACATTCTACTTTGGTGAAGATTTTGCAGTAGAAAAGCGGGGGGGGGCGCGTCAGCGTCTCTAACGAATGAACGCCCCTGTGAACCTTGGGCAGGCGTGAGAGCCTGATCCAGAGTGGTGTCTACACGTATAGGTGTTCCCCGGACAGGTAGGATCGCTGCATCGCCGTCGGCAGGAATGCTGTCGTCTCCACGCTTCACGTTGCCGATCTCGCTGTATCAGGAGCCATTGAAGTTAAATATATTATATCTACACCTTCGCCAGCGACAGTGTAAAGCAAAGTGGAACGTCCCGTAATTAATTTTTTTACTTTTTAAAATTTTTTTTTTTTAGAAAA